CGCGGCGGACGGCCAGTGTCTCCTCCAGACACCATCGTTGACGGATCCGAAATGGTCGGAGTCAGTTCCAATGCCCGCCATGCTGGAGAAGGCCAGAGATTGCCGAGCGGGAGCTTGAGGGGCGGAGCGGAGTGGCTAGGGTTTGGTCCTGTGATCGAAAGGGGACGAATATATGGCGCCCGGTTGTGCCCAGGTCACCTCATATCCGTCTCATATTTGAGCTGGATATTTTTTGAACATCAGTACAGACACAAGCGCTCATGTACACTCACCCCTATGAACGCACACACACACACCCTACCCCTATGAGCACCTCCGAAAGACTGAGCCGACATATCATCTTGAGATTTACGACGTCATCGTAGGCGTCTCGTCGTCGACGGAAACGTCTTCTCCCACTGAATGCGCATCGCCGGAAATCCTTAAATAAATATAGAAATAAATGCGAGCACCAGGATTTAAACCCCGATGGGCTGGGGGTACCACAGTCTCTTTAATCATCCAACCACTAGTCTAATGTTTAAGACCGATTTGAAGCGTTCGTCTGAGTCGATTTTTTTGTCCGGTACGTCCGGTGCTTAAGCTGGCTCCACAACCCCAGGCAACCAGATGCTACTTTCCAAGTCACCGGACACGCACGCACACCCCAGATGTACACGTATAGTTGGACGCGCTCACGTGCGCGCAGCGTACTGTTCATGAGCCGCACCGTCCGCGGCCACGTACCGTTCGTGCGGTGTACGTGATTCTCGCGCCACGGAGACTGAGCCGTCAGCTGAGCGAACCTCCGCCGGCAACTTTCCGTCCGAATCTTCGCCATCGCGGTCGCCCTCTAGGAGAGCGATCAGATTTGGCATACCGCACCACCCCGGGCACGCGCGTGGTGTTGACGCCGAATCGCTCGAACTGGAAACTGATTGGCTCCTCCGTACCCCGCGGGTGGCAAGTGGTGGCGCTGTGCGGACACCGGGTCGCGCCTCCACGTGAAGGCCCTCGTGCGACAGCTTCCTCCACGCATCGTACGTGCACGCCAGGAGCAGCACATTCATTAGTCCACGTCACGCCGGCAGAAGATAATACCGAACATTAGGGCACCTTCAACCCGATTCTCAAACCGCCCACATATGTCTGGACCTTTATGGGACAAATGGCGACGCTGGCGTTGCCGGTCTAGACGTGTTATGAGGTGCTTTTTCCCGTAAACCGGAGACAAAATGAGGTGAGTTTACGGGTGCCTGAACCGCTGTCACGCCCTACCTGGGCCTAACCAAACCCTCCCCGCTCGCCTGCATATGTTTCCACCCGGCGCCAGCTGCCTACATTCCTGCCGCTGTAGAGCGCCCGCTCTGCAATGACGCTGGTCCAGAGTGAAAGTGACCTCTTACTGGCGCCGGTATTGAAGTGCCGCGCCTGTCGAGGGAGCCGTCTGCGACGCGCCCTTGGTGTTCGAGCCTATTCAATGCTGAAGCGACATTTGTTGTATGTGACGAGACAGATATCTACATTCCTGCTCAATAACCGTCCGTCCGTATGCCGTCATTAAGCAAGCTCGCCGACAAGGAACCAACTCCGACGCCGCACATTGACGCACCCAGACGCTTGGCCTCGCCGGAATCTACTATTTAAAAGCGGCCACACCAAGCTAACTACAGCCCACAATAAATCCCCCTCCTTCGCTCCACAACTGTCATGATCACGAGCGGGAACACTCTAGGAAAGTATGTTGCCGGACATGAAGCATGAGTTGGCCGCCCTTACAGCCGCCTGGCAGTCCCACCGTGCCAAGCGGATCGAGCAGGGCATTGCCGGCCAGCTTGCCAGAGGTCTCCGACGACACACCCTCATCCCGCGCTGGTGCATCACGGCCTGACCATGCAGCAGGCGCATGCGCACTACAACGCCATCATGGTCGAGGAGGTGCAGCGTGCGCCGGCTCCTATGTCGGCGTTCCCGCAGGTGCCGGAGGAGCAGAGGTACAACATGTTCCTCCTTGAGCAGCACCGGCTGACGAAGGACCAAATCTACGCTGAGCGCGCAAGCGAGGAGGCCGTGGCTGCCATGGCGGTGGCGAACCCGAACTTCGCTGCGGAGTAGTGTGCGCTCTACGAGGCCGCCCGCGCCGCTCGCAACAAAGTTCCTTCGCAGTCGGACGCGGCGGCCAGTTGCGCGTCCGACGCGCCATCATCTAACTTTCGGGGGCTCATGTGGCTGGTAGACAGCAATAGACCGTCCACATCCATCATCGATGCCACGTCCACCAGCGCCGGCAACAGACAGGTCACAGACTCCTGAGTAGGGCATGGAAGGAGGGAGGGCATTGTGTCTCAAGTGGATCAGTCTTTCTCCCATGTTCTACTTTTCCTCGCCGGAGACTGCATCTTCGGCATCAGTGTCCATGCAGACCGATATGTTTGCAGATAGCATTGAATGACGGCCTCCGGCATCAGTGTCCGTGGACTGGGATGCCGGAGCTAATTTACCGATCAACGTTGGAAATGCCCTTACTTCGCTATTGTTCGTGCAACGGCAACGGCGGTCCCCGCCGGTGCAGATCTTTTGGGTGGGTTAACGTACGGCTGCTGAGATTGCGTACTCCTGCTTGAGGAATGTGTGGCATTCTCGTACCTACGCGCATGAGCTGACCGGCGTTTGAGTTCGATAGGGTTCATTCTGATCTTCTGGCATCAAGTGGCTATATTCTGTTCAATCACATCACAATT